AAAAAAAAAGAAAAAGAAAAGCTAAGAGCCTCCAGAACGAGGTCTGAGATAACTCTGACCAACCATATTCGCCACTAGTTGACCTCGAATTTCTTTCGGTGGGTCATCCATAACAACTAACATCTCATTTTGATTAGCCCCATTTTTGCAAGACCATCAGCACTCTTGTTGCCCTCCCTTTTGACATGTTGAATCGAAAACCCACATCGTTGGATGAGAAACTTGGAATCCTCCACTAGACTTCTCAATGGGGAAGTAACCTCAATGTTCCCCTTTAGCATATCAATAGCATATTGGGAGTCTGTTTCGATGCTAAGATCCTTATAGCCTTTCTCGAAAGCTATCGTCAAACCCCTGTATTTTGCCCAGATCTCCGCCTCAATGTAGGTGCAATTTGTAAGCTTACCAAAATACCCACAAAGCCAAATGCCTTTCTCATCCCGGATTAGCCCCCCAAAGCCACCATTGCCTGGATCTCCCTTTAAGCTTCTATCCGTGTTCATCTTCAATTTACCTGGAAGAGGAAGAGACCAGCTAATTAGCTCATCATCCAAACTGTTCACAATAGATATATTAAAAGCATCTTTAATATCAGTTGCATATCTATGTATGATGTAGATACTATGCTGCCAAGGCAATTCAACATTCTCAAAAATCTTAAGGTTCCTATTTTTCCAAATTTGCCATAATGAAGTAACAAAAAAAGAAGGCTCAATAAAAGGATGAGATTTAGACTTTAAAGTGGACTCCATCCAAATTTTAAATGACAAATTCCTGCAATTAAACAACCAAGTACCACAATTCAAACCAATCCAAATAGTTCTTGCTTTGGGACAATTTCTGAAGATATGATTCAAGTCTTCAACCTGATCACCACAATTATTACATAAAGCCGAATTTGACATTCCTCTAGTAACTCTTAGGCTGTTGGTTAGCAACTTCTGATGCAGTGCCAGCCAAACAAAGCCTTTGAGTTTTTGTGGGATTTTCAATTTCCATAACCAGAGTCAATTCCCAGAATTAGCTCCCTGATCAGTCACCAACTCAAAAGCCGAAGCAATAGTGAAAGCACCATATCTCGAGCCCTTCCAATGTGGCATATCTGGATAAGTTACAAACCTAGGAAGCTTCACCTTCAAAACAAGATCCCAAGCTTCCCTAGGTAACTTAACAGATATAACACCCACATCCCATCTACCTTCCTCATCTAAGAGAGTATCCACTTTTTCCAAGCTAATGAGGTGAGAATTAGGAAATAAGGAGGCCAAACTGCACTCCCCACACCACCAATCTTACCATATGGATACATTAGAACCATTGCCAATACACCATTTGCTACCCTTGACGAAAATGTCACGGGTTTTAAGAATACCCCTCCAAGTGAGAGAAGCTTTTTTCTTACTAGAATAGTTGAGTAGGGAGTCCCTGTAAAGGTATTTATGTTGGAGAACTTTAGCCCATAAACAAGACTCCCCATTAAGGAGTTTCCAACCCAATTTAGAGAGTAAAGCAATGTTACTATCCTTGGCCTTACGAATGCCAAGCCCACCAGATTTCTTACTGTTGCACACCGTATCCCAATTCACTAAATGAATCTTTTTGGAGGTGCCCACATCACCCCATAAAAAACTCCTATTCAGTTTATCCATGTCCTTACACACTTTCACAGGTAAGTCCATAGATTGCGTATATGGGAGGGCAGAGGTAACCGAATTAATGAGGGTGGCCTTTCCTGCAAAAGATAACATATTCGCTTTCCAACCAGTCAACCTGTTCTGGAGTTTCTCAAAAATGGAAGCAAAGTGTGCTCTGCTCACTCTGTTATGATGCAGTGGTATACCAAGGTATTTACGCAAATCATGGGTGAGGGGTACACCACAATTGCTACTCAAACTCCAAGCCTTAGAGGTAGGCACATTTGGAGAAATGAACAACTTTGATTTAGCGATGTTAATTTTCAAACCCGAGTAGTTGCTAAATTGATTCAAAACAGCCATGATGGTATCACAATTCCTAGAGTCAGCCTTGGCAAAGAGGAGAAGATCATCTGCAAAAAATAAATGTGAAATAGCAGGTCCCCTAGCAGAAGCCTTAGTACCCTTCCAATCCCCACTACTAACTTTCACAGTGATCAAATTAGACAACCTTTCCATGCAAAGAACAAAAAGATAAGGGGATAAAGGGTCTCCTTGACGGAGTCCCTTCTTGAGATTAAACTCCCAGACTGTTTCCCCGTTCCATAACACAGAGGAATTGACCTTAGTAACACAATTCATGATAAGCTCAATCCAATGAGGATTCAGATTAAATTCAACCAAGGTATCATGAAGAAAGGACCAAGAGACATTATCGTAAGCTTTTTCAAGATCAATTTTGAAAATCATATCACATTGTTTACCTTTTTTGAATCTGAGAGTGTGGATGATCTCTTGGACAATAATGATATTATCATTGGTAGTCCTACCCGGGATAAAGCTGCTTTGGTTTGGGCTAATCACATTCTCAATGAAGTGTCTAAGTCTACTCACCAAGGTTTTAGTAAGGGTTTTATAAAGAACATTGCACAAACTAATAGGCCTAAACTGTTTGATGGATTCAGAATTGTCAATTTTCGGGATGAGAGTGATTAGAGTTTTATTAATATTTGAGGGGATATCTCTCGAGTTGAAACAAGATTTAACAAAATTGCAAACAGAAGATCCCACAATGTCCCAATAGGAATGGTAGAAAAGAGATTGAATGCCATCGCAACCGGGGGCCTTAAAAGCTTTGATAGACTTCATAGCTTTCCAGATTTCCAAGTTGGTTACAGGTCTACCCAACTCAGCATTATCATCCATAGTAAATTTAGAGACCATTACATGCTCCCACCTAGTCCCAATTGCCTCAGGTAAGGCAGTGAACAAATCCTCAAAATAATTACCAACATGATTTTTCAAAGCAGTGGGTTTAGAAATCCAATTACCACTAAGGTCTTTCAAAGTGATAACACGAGAATGTCTTCTCCTAGCCAAAGTAGAAATATGAAAAAATCTAGTATTTCTTTCACCCAAAGAGATCCAGTTTGAACGTGATTTTTGAAACCAAAAAATTTCCTCTTGGTACAGAATATTATTGTAATCTTTAATCAAATCTTTTTCTAAAAAAAACAAGTTATGAGAAAAATGCTTGGATTGGGCCTTTTGAATGCCTTCAATTCTATCCAGAAGCCACCGTTTATTACGAAAAATATTCCCCAAAACATTTTTATTCCATAGAGAAGCTTTAGAAGTAATGGAGGTGATGGCTTCAAGGATTGAGTTGTTGGTATCATTCCAAGAATCTTTAACCAGATTTTTAAAATCAGGGTTTAAAAACCAGGCAGCTTCCATTCTGAAAGGACGCAGAGAAGGGTTAGAATGTTGCATACCTTCAGTGTAGATAATCATAGGAGCATGATCAAAATAAGTTCTTAGAAGATTTCTCGCTGACCCTTCTTGAAATTGCAATCTCCATTCCGTGGTACAGACAGCCCGGTCAAGTCTTTCAAGTGTATTTGCCATACCCTGCCTCCCATTGGACCAAGTCAGCCGGGGTCCTGAACACCCCAAGTCCATGAGCTTACATCTATTCAACCTAGTTTGGAATTTACGGGTTCTTGCCTGATCTTGGTTTGTAGAAAAGCTGCGTTTTTCATTTTGGTTCGCAAAATCATTGAAGTCCCCCGCCACAAGCCAAGGCTCAGAAGTATTATCAACCATGGACTCCAAATTATTCCAGAGTGCATCTCTCAATCTCGGGTTAGGGCTAGCGTAGACTGCCGAAAGGATTCAATCGTGAAAATTATCACGTTTGATCTTAGCATGAATCACTTGGGTGTTTGCATCTAAGGCCATAACAGTAGCTTTGAAGGGGTCCCACAATATCCAGATACCACCACACTTACCCACCGGGTCAACATGTGTAGAGGCTGTGAACCCCAGTTTGTTGAAGAATAGCCCCATTGAACTAAGTTGGACTTTGGTTTCCATGAGAACCAATATTGTTGGTTTATGGGTTGAGATTAGCTCACGCAAGTTACGTTTGAACACCTTGTTTCCAGCACCTCTGCAGTTCCATACAAGTAACTTCATGGATGATGATTTTGGAAAATGAGGTAGGGGGCAAAAATCAGGAGTCCCCAAAATATTTCTTACTCGAATGCGATCGTTCACCATGGCCCTTGTTGAGCCGATCCGGAGGCTGTGTGTTTTGGAGCCGTAGCTCTCCATGTTCAGCTCTATCATGACTCGGGCTTCCTCTATCCACCACTCTGATGCGATTCGGTGAATAGCTTCTATCTCGGGATTTATTGCAAGGTATTCCTGGTTGCAGATGATCTTGTGGTGAAGCACTTCTGGGATCTCCATCTACTAGAGGTTGAATGGAAAGAGGAGGGGGAATGGGATGCTCCACAGAGTGAGGATTGGTTGAAGAAGATGAAATGGATGCAGTATTTGATATTATAGGGGGCTTCACCTTCTGAATAACAGCTAAACTCTGATGGTTTGGATGCTCACATACCTTGCTTGCTTCCAAAATAGATTGGTCTGTTTTCTTCTCTTGGATACCACTATATTCTTCCGAAAAAGGAGTAGAGGTAGCTTCCTCAGGTTTCTTTACAGACGACTGTAAGCATTCAAAAGGGTTTGATGTGATTAGACGACATGGGGATTCAGTAGTTGAGCAGAGAACATCACGTGAGCTCCCAACAATAAAGTTGGTTTTGTGGCCATTGGTTTTATAAGTAGTTTTATGATTCTGGTAATGAGAAGTACTTGAGGGTTGGGCTGAGGTTGATGGATTTCTCCATTGGGCCTTACGGGAAGATGGGCTGGTGGTTCTAATTGACCTCGTGGTAATGGCTTCATTAATGGGCCCATTCATATTGTCTTTGTAAATATTTCTCTTCCCCCTTCGATCAACAAGCATCCATGGCCCATAACTGCTATTGTTAGCATCAGCAAGTCCAATTGGTTCTGAATTTGTTTGAGATGTGCCATTATGGCCTTCAGCCTGATCTCCAACGGTCGGATTCAGATTTGCAGCTGCTCCGATGGAGACTAGATTTGCAACCGATGCCAGTTTCTCGCTACACCATTCCCTCCAATGGCCTACCCTGCCACAATTGAAACAAAATGTATGTAAATGTTCGTATTCAATCAAGTAGTTATACTTACCAATAGCGAAATATGAAAGCAGAGGCTTCTTGAGGTCCATCTCTATACACACACGCGCGTATTTGCCTCTGGTCGAAATGGCTGTGTTCAGGTCAATTTTTAGAGGTTTACCCAAGGCCTTGGCAATGTGAAAAATTACTTTTTCATTGTAGTACTCTATCAGCAATTGGGGAAATCTGATGCACAAGGCAGTTTTCACCTCCTCGGCCGCCGCCGGCTTGAAATTGGGTTGCCATATACGAACTGTGAGGTAATGGTCCAGAACAATCCAAGGACCCCCTGTATAAACATACGCACAATCCTTTTTCATTTGGAATTTTATGAGGAAGAAACCTGAATCGAGATCAATGGCTTCAAAATCTCCTTGGAGGTCCCAAAGTTTGCGAATCTTTGCCATCAGGAGTCTCTAGCCCACCCTCTTCCCCAATAGCTTAATAATTAGGCAATCCTTCCATGGCCTTCTAATTTTAGCCAATAATTTATTAGGTGGTGAGATCCTGGGAATACCCAGCACTTCCGTTACCGATGATTCCACAAGAAGTATCTCATCACCATCATCTTCGAACTCATCATCTGTGGAAAGATCATCCAGATTTTCATCAAAGGGTCTCTCATTCGGACTTCTATCAGTGAGAGCATCCTTGAAGGATTTGGGTATGGGAACTTGTGCTGATTTTTCGGCCGGACTGGGTGTCTCTGTTGGTTACATATATCTAGATTATGAGATTGTTGGGAATGCACTAAAAAAACATTTATTTCATAAGTGCATTTTTTTAAATCACATTATCTCTATATTGACTAGATAAGAAAATTCCAAACAACTCCTAGGAAAATTAACGTGTGTCTGTTAATAAATTTGTTAAAAAATAATTATTTATTAAACCTAGTTAGAAAAAAAACAGTCGTGCTAGGGAGCTCGATAACCCCCCTCCCAGAATCTCCCGAATTCGAAAAAGGAAGAAGAAAAAGAAAAGGAAGAAGAAGAATAAGAAGGACTGGACTGGAAGGGCCAACATCAACCGGGCAAGGCAGGGGGAGGAGGTAGAGGCGGAGGCGGAGGCGGGGCGGAGACGATCGGTCGACGAGCTGTGAGCTGCGACGATGGGCCGCCGATCGGACTAGACTGGAGTGCTGCGACGATCGGTCTCTCTTCTCTCCCTCTCCCTCTCCCTCTTTCTCTTTCTCT